CCCCCGCCGCCCGCCTGCAGGGCGTCTGGGGCCGGAGACTCCTGCAGGAAGAGCTCCCGTCGATGGCTGTGACTCTCCAGGTTGGGCCCGCGGGGCGGGAACTTCTTGCGTGAGAGTCGCAGGTACTTGTGGGCCTTGCGTGGCTTGCGGAGCGGGAAGGGCAGGGTGGGCACCAAGGGGCCCTTGTCCACCAGCTCGGGCGCCCCTGCCTTGACCACCCCCTCGGGGCTCCCGCTGGCGAGTGGGCGAGCCAGGGAGAAGCAGAGCTTCTCCTTGCCCGCGGCCTTGTGGGAGCTCCGCAGATCCATACTGTACAGCCGCTGCGGGGGCAAGCCAGGGCACGGCGGGGCCGCCCTGCTCCCACCACTGCCACCTCTGCTCATGCTGTTCCAGCCCAGTGCCCTTCCCGGCCTGCCACCCACTCCCCCACAGAGCAGCCAGCACCTCCACCCCAGCCCAGAGGGCTGCCCCCACCAGCCCCAGCCGGGCCAGTCCTCTGGGCCTCACAGCGCCATGTCCTCCTGCCAGGGCCAGGAGGTAGGGGACTGCTGCGCTTATTCTTTGCTGCACAGCAGGGGAGCAAAGAAACGGAAAACTGACCACGAGAAAACCACCTGGACAGACGGCGCAGGGACACTGAGGAGGCGCTGCTGCAGGACGGGACCTGCTTATAAAGGCCCTCCCACACGAAGAGCCAGCGGGCAGGGCGGGGGTGTGAGGTAGGGGCAACGCCAGCACTGCGTACCCTAAGACCAGAGCCAGGGACCGCGTTCGGCCCGCAGCCTGCATTCTCGTGCCTCCACCTCACCCCACCCCCGGGCACCTCCCTGGGCCAGGTCTCTGCAGGCTTCCTGCTCGCCCTGGTGAAAAGCAGCCGGGGGCATGTTCGTCTACCAGCCAAGGGCTGGAGTGATTTGGGGGTTTGTCTTGTTAACTTCGGGGAGGATTTACATGAATCCAAGACAGAAGCCCAGGGCCACGACATTGGGAGATTCTGGATCATTCAGGGACAGCACCTTCTACCACCACCTGTCACCATGCAAGAGCTCCAAGGAAAGTGAGGCCATCTGGGGCCTGGGAGTCAAATACCCCCGAGGCAGGCCAGAGACGATGCACAGGTTCCATTCCAGGCTCGCCTGCTAATGCCTGCGCAGGTCACAAGGTGGTTGCTAGGGTGACAGGAGGGGACTGGGACGCTGCAGTGTCTGGGAGGCTAATCCCTTGTGCAGTGTCGCCAAAACCCACTCCTCCCACCTGGCCAGGAGGCCACCACAGGCCCAGGGAACTCTCCTACTGTTCTGGGGCAGACTCCGTTCTACACCACGCATCAGCATCACGGGAGAACGACAGCTGCTGAAAGGGGCCCTGAGGGCCAAGGGCGGGTCTGGGTTTGCACCCTGCTGTGGGGCCTCGGTAAACGACCTCCGACCTCCTTTGCAGAATGAAGACACGCAGTACCAGCCTCCTCCCCACAGCTGCCAATTGCACCTGCTCCTGGGCTTCCCACACGTAATGCTGGGTCACCAGACACCGTGGCCTCTTCCTTGCTCTCTCCCTGGGTCACGCACTCGGGGGAAGCTGGGGCCATACTGTGAGGACACCGTGGGGCCACTCGAGCGGCCCGAGGGAGAGGGTCCTGTGGGGAAGAGCCAGCTCAGACGCAGAACCTCCAGCCCCATCCTGACGTCCCCAACCGGAAGCACCGCAGAGCCAGCTAAGTGCTCTCGAGCCTCCCCAGCCCTGGGCTGTGATGAGTCTCGTTACTGTCAGTTGCCACGTCGGGGCGATTTATTACACAGCATCCGATGGCTTGTACCACCCCCGAGGGTTGGGTGTGCAGGCCACGTGCCCGCATATAAAGCTCACAGGGCACAGCAGCCCCGTGTCTGGCAGAGGCCACTTCCTCCCCAGGACCCAATCCACACCAAACCCACGGAACACCTGCCGCAGAGAGGAGCCGCAGGTGCTCTGGCAGCCGCCTAGGTGGTCTCTAGTCAAGGCGGGCCATGTTGCACGTGGGCTTCAAATGCCCAGGTAGGCCTCTTAGGTGAAGGACAGCAGGTACTGTTACCATGCACACCCGTGTCTGGCAGAGGCCACTTCCTCCCCAGGACCCAATCCACACCAAACCCACGGAACACCTGCCGCAGAGAGGAGCCGCAGGTGCTCTGGCAGCCGCCTAGGTGGTCTCTAGTCAAGGCGGGCCATGTTGCACGTGGGCTTCAAATGCCCAGGTAGGCCTCTTAGGTGAAGGACAGCAGGTACTGTTACCATGCACCCCCTTGACAGGTGATCGAACCCCCACTCGGATTTTCGGGAGGGCTGCCTAGGGTCCTGTCACCGGGCCCCTTCAAGCTCAGCCTGCTTTTCACTACCAACCAGGGAAGTTGGTACGGAGCCCCCAGGACCTAAGAGGCAGATACCCGAATGTCAGAGACCAGAGCCCCACCTGACAGAGGACTGGAAAAGACTGCACCCGAGGGGCTGGCTTTTTCCCACTCAGAAAGGACACGTTTCTAGGAGGCTGACCTGCAGCTCCGGAACCGAGTCTCCCTCAGCTGCACTCTCAAACCCCAGGCTCCGGTGCCTTCTCACTAGAGCTGGCGTGGCGGTTCCGCCAACATTCCAGTGTTGTGCTGGGGGTTCTGGGCACCCAGGGCTCACTTCCGAGACTCCAGGTTTTTAGCTTCGAGGCCTCTGTCAGCCACACTCCACCCTGCCTCCCTCCATGGTGTCTCCGACCTGCACCAGCCCACACTCGGGCTTTCCGAATTTTCACAGAAGATCCCCAACCAAGTTCCCCCCACGGTGCCCTGGGCCGTGCTGGGGAGGGGGGGCCAGGGAGCAGCTCACTGAGCCAGTGCCCAGGCAAGTGGGGAGGGTGGGGGCCTGCAGCTGGGCAGGGGGAGGAAGGAGGCACAGCAGGCTGGGTTACCTGCAGCAGAAGCCGCTTGGGTTTCGGACCTCTCTTCCTATACCCCGATGCTCGGTCTCTCTCCTCCCTGGGGTGCGATGCAGGCGGCAGAAGAAAAGGAAACACTGGTGACATCGAAGGGATGTGAGATGTCCGCCCCACCCTCCCTCTGCCATCTGCCATCTGCCAGGAGCTAGCCCCTCCGCCCAGCCCGTCCCCCCGGTCTTTCCTGTTGCTCTCCTGCGGCTTTTCAAGGAGCTCAGACTTCTGGGATCAGTCTTCCCCTCTGTCTCGGTCACTAAGGTGGGACTTGAGGAGCTCCCAAGTCCGTGGGTCTTGACTGGCTCCAGGGCCCCGCTAGGGCTCTGCTCTAGTGGCTGGGGGGGCCCCCCCGCGCGGTTTCGGACCTCTCTTCCTATACCCCGATGCTCGGTCTCTCTCCTCCCTGGGGTGCGATGCAGGCGGCAGAAGAAAAGGAAACACTGGTGACATCGAAGGGATGTGAGATGTCCGCCCCACCCTCCCTCTGCCATCTGCCATCTGCCAGGAGCTAGCCCCTCCGCCCAGCCCGTCCCCCCGGTCTTTCCTGTTGCTCTCCTGCGGCTTTTCAAGGAGCTCAGACTTCTGGGATCAGTCTTCCCCTCTGTCTCGGTCACTAAGGTGGGACTTGAGGAGCTCCCAAGTCCGTGGGTCTTGCCTGGCTCCAGGGCCCCGCTAGGGCTCTGCTCTAGTGGCTGGAGATCCCCCCAGGTGCAGCTCCAGCTGCTACTCTACGAGGTTCGTAGGTAGACCTGACGCTCCAACCTGCTCCACAGTCGCTGGAGCCAGAGGGAGGGTGGACCCTTCGGTAAGCGAAGCTCTGCCCAGATTTCCCCACGTGGAATCTTGTGGGGTGTACCGGACAGGCTCCTGTCTGTCTGCTCGGCTAGTCAGGCAGGGGACCAGACTGTGCCTAATGCCCAGGAGAGGCCAGACTCTCCGCTGGGTGTCTTCCCTGCACCTCAGCACGTGGCAACTGGGACACGTTACAGAGCAACACGGCACACGCCAGGCAGGATGACCAGATGCCATGCAGTGCAAGGTGGGGAGTGCAGAGCCGCTGTGCTCTGCTCCTCCCCGTTCATCCTGTCCACACTGGCCGTGGCCCCGCCATGGAGGCCACGCGGAGGCCAGTTCTCCCCTTCCGCTCCCCTTACTGGTTGTGTGGCCTGAGGCCAGCCTCTGCCTGAGCCCAGCGATGGATCGCATGGTGTCTACTTCAAACGCCCGACTGTCCTCCAGGCAGGAGTCAGCCCCTCCTGGGCGCCAGCCTCCAGGGCAGCAGGGGAGGGCCCTTTGTGCAGGATGGGAACCCAGCCCTGTGACACTTGCCCACTACTATCTTCGCCCATCCCAAGACACTCCTCAGGACTCTCCCACACGCCACAACCCTTCTGGACCACGGCCCCACTGAGCACCCAGAAAGCAGAGGGAAGCTGGGACTCCGAGTTTTAAAGGAAAACAATGACGTGTGTCCTGTGACTGGACAACGGGAACCCTGAGGGGGCAGAGAGAACACAGCCACGGGGCAGAGAGAAGCAACGCCTGGGGCCGGGCCCTGGGCTGAGTCCTCGTGCTGGTCCCCAGTCGGGAGGCATCTGGACAGGCCCCTTCACTCCTCAGAGCCTAGCCTCCTCCTCTGGATGAACCCCTCAGCCTGGTCTCAGGGGCCGTAAATGGCCCCCCGTCCTGCAGGGTCGGGGAGAGCCTGGGGAATGGTCGACTGCTCAGAGTCCAGCGCAGCACAGCAGAGGACAGAGGCAGATGCCACCAGGGCCACTCGGAGCTGGCCCAGCGGGACAGGCCAGAGCCACACGGCCGGTGTCAAGGCCCACCAAAGGCTCCAGCCTTGCAGGAGCATCGCCGTCTCTCCTTCCCTTGGAGAGAGCCTAGAGGGCCCCCCTCTCGGACCTGTCACTGCGAGCGCTGCAGCTACCGCTGCCCCTCCACGCACGGGACACAGCTCTTCACTGCAACTGCAACCTCGGCCTTGGGGGGACTCGGGTGTTATTAGGGGTGACCCATTTCCCAGCGGAGACTGAGGCGTGGGCGAGTAAAGGAAGTGGCATCACCCAGCCGCAGGACACTAAGCGGGGTCCTCGCTGCCCTGGAACCAGGTGCTCTCCACCTTCCTCCCCCACCTGCACTCAGGCCGGCCTGCCCGGGTCAGACACCCCTGCCCTGCCCCCGGACCCTGGCTCAGGGCCAGCCAGCAGCAGGCCAGGCCCCCTTACTTCTCCTCATAGGCCATGACGAGGCGGGGGTCCAGGATGTGCTCTTCCGGCTCCCACGTGCTGTACCTGGGAGAGGAAGGAGAGGTCAGCGCCACTCTGCTCCCCCACCCCCCGGTTACAGCGGCAGGGCTGTACCCCATTCTGGTCAGGTGTGACCGTCACCCACTCCAAGGAGCCAAACTCAGCTGGCCTGCGGGGCCTCGGATGACACCTGAGCTCCCTTTCCATGCCATGCCACAATCCAACCGAGTCTGACTCCTGATCGGAACCCACGTTCCTGAGACCCTCGGGGTGCCTGGAGGAGAGCAGACCCACCAGGTCCCTGACATCCTTCCCGGGGAGCAGAGCGAGTGTGGAGCCACACCACTGGGTTCAAATCCCAGCTCTGCCCCGGCTGGCTGTGCAACTTCCTGGTTCTGCACCTCAATTCCCCACCTGGGCAGGACTCAGGCTGCCTGACGCATCCATCTAAGTGTCAGAGCAGGGCCTGCTGCTGCCATCCCCCCCTGCCTTGCAGCCCCGGACCACAAGGCCTCTGAACACACGACATCTCCGGTCTCTAGCCTGGTGTGGCAGGGAGCTGGGAAATGTTCGGTGACCAAATGGTCCAGCACCCCCATGGCAGGTCCCCCAGAATGTTGACATGGCTCTTCACCACCCTCAGACCAGAGCGCTCCCCACAGGGACAGCACAGCAGTCCCAGAGCTCAGCAGTCTGTGGCAGCACCGTGGCGACACCAGCCACCTCCTAGCCCTACCTGCACTCAGTCGGCACCTGCCTTTAAAGCAGCTCAGGAGTTTTCCTTTATTTTAAAAGCCACTTTACAACTTCCATAAATAGAAAATCCAGTATTGAATACAAATATTAAAAGTTTTTAATTAAAAAATATACACACGGGGGCCAGCAGGTGGGATGGTGGTTAAAGTGCTGGACTCCCACAGGGTCAACCATAGTTCAAGTCTTGGACCTGGAGGCTTGCTTTCTCATTCTCTCTCTGGTCAAATCTTAAAAAATAATAAGGATGACTAAAATGAAATAAAATAATTACTTAAAAAAATACATATATGGGGTTGGCAGGTGGTGTGGTGACTAAGGGTGCTGGACTCCCACATAGCTGACCGTGGTTCGAATCCTGAACCTGATGGCTTGCTTTCTCCCTTTCTCTTCCTCTCTGATCAAATTAAAATAAATGAATAAGTAAATAAAATAACTAAAATAATAAACAAATACTTTAAAAAAGTGCACATATGGGAGGCCAGCAAGTGCTGTGGCAGTTAAGGTGGATTCCCAAATGGCTGACCATGGTTTGAGTCCTAGATCAGGTGACTTGAAAATCACACTAGGTGCATGTGCGTGCACGCCCAAAATCCCAGGAGGAGAATGGAGAAGGGACTGCAGCGTGGCCATCACCCCTGGGGGGGAGGTGTGATTTCTCACTTTCGCTCTCTGTCTCTCTCCTGTGAGCACATGCACCCTATGGAAAAAGCCTAAAAATATTACATATAGATAAATACATACAAAGTACATACATAAGACATACATGCACAGGGCTAGCCCTTTAGCTCAGTGGTTGGGCGAGCCAGATCCCAAGTGGCTGATCATAGTTGGAATGGCAGCCCCAGTGACTTCAGAAACATGTGGGGTGCGCATGTGTGCGTGCTCAAAATCCCAAAAGAAGGGAGAAATGGAGGAGGAAGGACTGCCGCACGGCCATGCCCCTGGGGGGGGTGCTTTCTCCCTCCTCTCTGGTGAGTGCAAGTGCCCTCCGGTAACAAAAGATGGAAATGTACACATCTAAATGTATACATACACAAACAAACGTACACAGCACAAGACAGGGCCTGCTGCATGGCTGGTGGTAAGACAGCTGGATCCACATGGCCAACCAGACAGTTTGAGCCCAGGACCCTGCAGCTTGAGAAACGTGTCAGGCACATGCGCGTGTGGTATGTGCATGCCCAAAATCATGAAAGGAGGGAGATGGGGAGGGGGCTGTGGCATGACCACTCTCCTCGGGTTGGGGTGTTTTCTCCTCTCCCTCTGTCTCTCTCCTGCTGGTGCACTATGCCCTCTAGGGGAAAAAAAAAAAAAAGCTAGCCAGTGGTGTGGTAGCTAATGGCAGCGAGATCCCGCACTTTGCGAGGCCTGAACCCAGCGGACTGAGGAAACACAGCGGTGTACGTGTGCGCATGCGCAGAATCCTGGAAGGAGGGAGAAATAGAGGGCTGCAGACACTGCAGATGTGGCCATCCCCAATGGGGGAAGGGGCTCTTTCTCACTTTCCCTTTCTCTCTGTCTCTCTCTCTGCCAAGTACAGGCACCCTTTTGTTAAACAAACAAAAAAACCAAAGTGATGCTCTAAGACCCCAGCTGATGGCTCTGGATCAGGAGGGTGAAGGGGTATTAGGAAGCAGGAGGAGGCCAGGCAGGCCTGCCCCAGCTGCCCCCTGGTCAGCTCAGCTCGTCCTTATGAGGCTGTCCTGGCATGAATCTCATGGTCTTTACACAAGTTCAACCTCCAGCAACAGGCTGCCCAGGACGGGATGCCCTCCCCTCCTTCCACTACCACTTGGACACGTTGCTTCGAGGCCCGCAGGTGGGCTCCCACAATGAAGGCCCAGGCCTTGGGCACCACACAGCCCTTCCCCCTAGCGGCAGACCAGCCTGACCTCCTTCTGGGGTGCCCTGGTCCTGTAGCTTTCCCTGACATGCAAGACACACCTCCCCCTCCCAGCCCTCTGCTCCCAGGGCCTTCGACGGCACCCTCTCCAGTGCTCTGGAGTGATGTGGAATGCGCCGCAGACTCATGCTCGCTCGCTCGCCCGGCAGAAAGCTGAAAGAGCAAAGCTGGGTACAGCCCACGCTATGGGCAGCCAGAGGCTGCAGACTCTAAGCCTCCCTCCTCCCCAAGGTTGAGCGTCTTCAATTGGCACACTAAGAAGGGGACTCCGTGTTCTTCCTGTGTGGTCTGCCTCACCCTCTCTCTGCCCTGCCCTCCTCCCCACTGCCCTGCCCGTTTCTTGCTGATGTAGCTGCTACGATTCCTGGCAAGTCCCTACTCTTCTCTGGACCTCGATTTCCTCATCTTGAGACAAACCACCGCCAGGGCAGTGAGAGCAGGTGCGCAGACCTCCTCCAGGTACTCCCTCCTTCCTAAGGCTCTGACCAGGTAGGTGCTTAAGATTACTGGCCCTGTTTTACAGATGGAGAAACGGAGGCAAAGAGGTTAACGGAGGTGCCCAAGGTCACTGAGCCCGTAAGTGGCCAACCTCACTGCATCTGCCCGGGGGAGGAGCATGGCCTGAATGGCCCCAGGCCGGCACACAGCGGAGCACAGAAAGGCCAGATTCCGGGGGGCTGGTTTCTGGCTGAGGCCGCGGGGCCTGAGGGGTGCAGGGTCAGCCTCGGCGGCCTCGCCCTGCTCGGTGCTCCGCTGGTGCGTCTCAACCTCTCCGAACGCCACGCCGCGCCCTCCGCAGTGCCGGGAGCCCCTGCCAGAGACACGCCGAGGTCCAGGCAGGGTGGGCGGTGGGCACTGAGCGCGGCCCCGTTGCGGGGAAGCAGGGGGCGCAGGGCCGCCCACTGTCCCGCCCCCAGCCGGGCGGCCGCGCGCACGTACGCACGGGGCGGGGCGCGCAGGCTCGAGATAAACACGGCCACGTGACCGCCCCGCCCAGCGGCTCGGGTAAACAAGCTCCCGGCGCTGCGCCCGAGCCCGAGCCCCCAGCTACGCAGGCGCAAGCCTTGCCGGTGGGGGGGTGGGAGTGGCGGGGGGGGGTGGGGAGGTGAGAGGGTCCCCACAGCACCCAGCCAGCCTGTGGTGAGGGTGCGGGTGGGGGGGCTGCCAAGCTGTGACGCAGGCGTCCAGGGGTCCCAGTCTTCCCCTCCAGTAAAGCTGCCCCAGAAGAGAAGCGCTAAGGTGGACTCATGTCCAGACTGCCAGGTGCAGCATTAAGCAAGTGACCCCACTAATCTGGGCTTGCATCCTGAACAGGGGCCACCGACAGTCCCTGTTGCCTGGGGCAGTTGTGAAGATGGTTGTGAAGATGAGATGCAGTGCAGTGTGGAACAAATAAAAGCGAAAGCGTTCATTAAACCCCAGCCTTGCAGGAGGAAGGCCCCTCTGCCCCGCTGGTGCTAATGAACCGCATCTTGTCTCAGGCAGTCTTCCGCAGGCCCTGTAGGACTAGGGCCAGTTTTACAGATGGAGACGTGGAGGCACAGGGAGGCTGAGGACACTGCCCTAGGTGGCATAGCTGGTACTCTACACAAGCAGAGATGGCAGGCAAGGAATGGCCAGGCTTCAAAGCCTGATAAGGTCCCATGGAACTGGCCCAAAGCCCAACAGAGGAGACTCCTGACTGCCTTTGGTGGAGCTTAGCTGGGCCCACTCATTAGACGACAGTTCTCTGGAACCAGTCCTTCCTGAAAGGTGCAGAGCATCGTGGTGGGAAAGGCCTGAAAAGGGGGTGGGGTGTCTGGGTTTCTGGGGTGCAGCGAGCACCTAGAGCTGACAGTTGATCATCCTTTGCCCTGCACCCCAGCCCCGTGCCGTTGGCTGTGCCTTCCAGGTGGGGCAGGACAGCCCTTCTGCCGCATCTGCTGGACAGGAAGGGCAGTTACAGGTGTGGGGGGAGCAGATAGGCGAAGCACATGATGGCTGCACGGCCGGGCACCGAGCCAGTGACCATGTACACTGGTGTCACCGGTGTCGTTACGGGTGTCAGTAGACTTCTCCCTGCCCAGAGGTGAGTGGCTGACTCCCGAGCAGGAGAATCTGCCAGGTTGGCACTGCCCCGCTAAGGCTCCAGGACCTGGAGGAAGCAGCCCAATCAATTACCCTTCCCTCCCTCCCCCTCAGCCTCTTCAAGCCAGACCCTGAGGAGGGAGACCGATGACACAGCTCCTCACAGAGCGGCTGGCCCCCTGCTCTGCCCCGATGAACCTGTCTGCCCTGTGAGGGGAGGGTGGTTAACAGCCACACCTGCCCTGTACAGGGGAAGGCCATGAATGGCATGAACTGGGTGCTATCCTGGTGTGGGGCTGGCAGTTCTGTTTTCATAATGGTCTCCCCTCTTTGGGCCTGTTTTCCCCAGCTGAAGAATGAGGACTGGTTTCTGAGGACACTCTGAGCTCCTCTGAAGGACTGAATCCTCTAGGTCCCTTTCCTGACCGGGGGACCCGAAAACGAAGCCCAGAGGCCTTCATAGTGAGCTCTGTGTTAGCAGACATTTCCTGAGCTGGCCAGGCTGAGCGAGCCCTGTAACATATCTGTCCTCTAATCCGCACGACACCCACGAGGAGGCTCATCACTCCAATTCCAAGACAAGGAAGTGGAGGCCCACCACGCAGAGACCTGACCAAGGACAGCCAGGCTGGCACCCAGGACCTAAGTGTGGGGGAGCCACAAGGCGTCCTCAGGTCATCTGGTCCAACGGGGCTTCCAGAATCCCCTTGGTGGTCACAAGAGGCAGTCCTGAGTGTCCACCTGGTGGTCTCAGCATGCTGGGAAACAAGGGAGCCCAGGGTCAGGGCACAGGCCCGCACAGACGAGGAGGGCCTCTGCTCCCAGAGCGCTGTCTCTCCCCTCTGGACTGGAGTGCTCAGCAGCAGGTTATCCACAGTTAGGATGAGAAGGGGAGGAGGGACTTCGCAGTAACAAGAGCCTCATTTAGGGGAATAAAATCCTTCAAATGGTGGAATCTGCAGAGATCGAAAGATAGCCAACTTTGCCTTGCAGGCCACAGGGTGGTAACCCCAGCTCCAGTGCACACAGTGAGGCCCAGGGAGTCGGGCCCCTGCTGGCCACCTGGGCAGCTTCCGGTCCTCACTCTCTCACTCCGTACTACTGTCCCTTGCCTGGCCAGAAGTCTACCTTTTCTTGTTTTGTTTTTGCTATCAGCCATGTATACTGGCCAGAGAGAGAGAGGGGGAGAGTGAGAAATCACCCCCTGGGGGCATGACCGTGCTTCAATCTCTTCTCTTCCATTCTCCTGTGGGATTTTAGGTACGCACGCATGCGTGCTTTTCAAGCTGCTGGGTTTGGGACTTGAACCTTGGAGCAGGCCATATGGAATCCGGCAGCCCTGTCATTGCCACCTGCTGGCCCCAGAAGTCTACTTCTGACCAGCCCAGTGGAGGGTGTCTGGGAAGCAGAGTGTGTGTGGGGTGTGTGTGCAGGACCAGCGCACGTGCTATCTCCGTGCCGGCCACCAACCCCAGTTGCCAGGATACCTATGGGTCCCCCGGAACAAACGCCCAAGTCCTTCACTCCGTGACAGAGTGGCCTGTCCAAGAAGCACAGGGCTGGAGTTGTGACTCGGTTCACAGAGAGGAAGGCTGAGGCACTGTGGGCGCTTTCCCTCTGCTGGGTCCTCACCAGCCCCCAGAATGCCTCCAGGACCCAGTACCAGGTGAGTTCCCCTGCACCCGCCACGCCACGTGCCAGCACGACAGACAGCTCCAGCCACAGGGGAGGCTCTGGACAGAGGGGCTTCCAGGGGTCTGTCACCAAGGGTCAGGGCAGGGGGAGGCCAGCGTCATCCTTCCACAACACAAACACACACACACCCCTCCCTGCTGAGGGGTGCCTGGCTGGTGAGAGGGTTCGATCAGGTCTCAGCAAGAGAGGTGAGCAAGTGGGAGATGAGACCCAGCTCCCTGCCCCCAACTCTGTGATGGGATGGGGCACGGCACAGAGACCTGAAAGTGGGAGGGCCTCCTCGTTCAAGTTCCAACTCTGCCTACTCTTGCTGTGTGACCTGGGGCAAGCTGCTTACCCTCTCTGAGCTTGCTTTCTCATCTTGGAAGATCACAAGACACCTACCTCACAAGGCTGAGTGGGCAGCTACTCTGGAGACTGAAAGGTGCCACTCAGAGGCCAGGTGGACTCATGCTCTGTCCCCGGCTAGGTGGCACTGAAGTCTCACGGTCCATGGCCTGCTCCTTGCTCACCCGGTGCTCTGCACTTGCTGTGACTTGGGGATTCGCTCCCCTAGCCAACAGCTGTCTCTGAAGCCAAGATGTGGGGCCTTCACCACCTAGCTGCCAGAAAACCCGGCGGAGGAGGGGGGAGAAGCACCAACCCTTGACCCTCGCATGCTGCAAGCCCCTGAGTTGGCAGAGGGGAACTGAGGCCCAGAGGAGAGCTGATGTCAACGAGGCCGCTGTCCAGTGATGACAGCAGGTGGAGCTAAACACTGGGTGGGGGAGGTGGCAAAGGCAGGTGGAGGGACAAACGAGTAGACAGACAGACAGACACCCAGAAGCCTTACTTTGGGGGCCATCCTTTCCACTTCACCAGGTATTCGACTTTACCCTGGAAGAGAGAGAAGCAGCCACGGTGAGGTGCACAGGAGTCTCCAGCCAGGGCAGGGCATGAGTCCCCTCTGCAGACGGGAGTCCCTGCACACCCTCTCCCAGATCCTCAGCTCCTACATGACCACCCCGACTGCTCCCCCAGAGCACACAGTGCTCCCCCAGAGCACACAGTGCAGCTGGCCCCAGGTTTCTCTGGGCACCTGTGGCCCTCGCTCAGAACGCACGTCACACATGGGGAACCCTCCCCATCCCCAGTGTGGGGGCCACACAGGACCGGGTGTATATGGCCAAAGACCCACCGTGGCGAGTCCTGACACCACAGTCATGATTCTGACCTTCCTTTTGGGACGGAAGCCTCTCTGGGCCCTAGAAAACCACTCCCTGGGTGTTCCCTTTTTTCTTCCCAAGACTCTGGCCCTCCCATCTGGGTCTCAGAGCGGCTGCCTCTGTGTGGAGGCCACAGGCCAGTGACTTCAGGACTCCAGGACCCAGGATCTGGGAGAAGACTGATAAATGTCCACCTTCGGAAAAGGGGGTGGGCCCTCCGGCTGTCAGAACCAGAGCCAGGGCCCTCCCTCTCTCACAGGGCACAGAGACCTTTAAGAAAGTCTCCACGGCCTCATAGTCGAGGCAGCCAGATTCCATGCGGCTGACCCCACAACCTCAGTCCTGGAGCTGGCAGCTCGGAAAAAAGGCCAGGCTCAAGTGCCTGCGTGCCCAAAATCCGGAAAAGAGAGAGAAATGGAGGGGAAGGGACTATGGCTGCCCATGCCCAGGGCTGCTTTCTTCCTCTCCCTCTCTAGCATCACCAAGGCGCCCTCTAGCAAAAATTGGGGGAAAAAAAAGTTTACAGCCCAACTCCATCCCACCCAACTCCATCCCACAGTTGAAGCCTCGCACACCAGGACGTTAGGACCAAGCAGGGCACCTTCTCAGACACGTTCCCTGGCCGCCCTCTGTGCTGCTGTTCCCCCAGCACCTTCTGGAAGGATTCTGTACCTATTTCCTCATTCACTGTGAGCCTCCTCTGCCAGGCCAGCTCCGTGGGGAAGGAATGCATCCCTGGGGCTGGCCGTAATAGATCCTCAATAAACGTTCTGAGTGACTGGCTGCAGGAAGGATGGCCTCACTCCTCACTCCTGGCCCGGTCCTCAGGCCCCAGTGCAGAAGGGGCAAGGCTGCACCTGCACAGGCTTCTGCATGGAAAGCACTAGGCTTTGTGGAATAAATTAGTCCTTTTTTAAGTGGAGGAAACCCTGGGGGAGGGAAAAGGAGATAGAGCTCAACCCTAGCGGAGGTGGGAGAAGAAAACAGCTCATGGCCAGGATTGAGTTTTCTCCACGGCAGGAAGATGGGCTGGCCAGGAGCCACTGAAGCTCCTGCTCCACCTCGATCTCTAACTTGGTGACCTTCAGCAGGTCACTTCCCTGCCCGGGCCTCAGTTTCTGCCTCTGTCAAATGGGAGGAGGTGACTGCTCAGTCACTCCCAGTCTGCCATTGGACACTGACAAGGGGCTGCAGGGAGAAGAGGGAAAAGGTGGGGATGATCACCAAGAGAGGAACTTCCCCAAGTCCAACCTCCTCTCTCAAGTGAAAGACCACTTGGCAAACATGTGCACAGGAAGTGGAGACCCCAGGCAGGGATGGCCCAGGTCCAGCTTGGAGGTGACCTTCCTGAGCCCAGCAGAACCGAGGCCTCCTTAAAATGCAGAGTGTACGTTTCCCAGGCAAGGCAGGAGGGGCGGAGCTTCGAGGATGCCCAGCGCTGGAGGTGTGGCTTCAGAGTGGTTGGGGGAGGTTCAGAGTTCAGATTTCCAGGATGCCCCAGAACTGGAGGGGCTGGCAGTTGGGGGGAGGGGCGGGGAAGAGGCGTGCACTGCGGGGTTGGGACCGGAAAAGGTCAAAGTCCAGAAGAAAAACTTAAGAGGCAGGAGGTGGCTTTCCCAAAGCTCCGCCTCCAACTTCCAAGGACTTGGTACCAAGAGGCCAGAGTCCCGAGTTCAAGACCCTGCTCTGACCCTAACACACTAGGCAAGTCGTTTCTCAACTGGGGCCTCAGTTTCCCCATATTTAGAATGAAAGGAAGACGAAGGAGATGGAGCTCAGAAGCCCTACAGTCCGACCTTAACCTCCAGCTCAGGCGGGCTCAACTCCTCCAGCGTTCCAGGGCAACAACTTTTATTCTGCTCGCCCTACCCAGTGGGAGGGAAACTGAGGCAGAGCTGCTTGAGCCCTCCACCCCACTTTCCCCCTTGTCCCCTAGTGTAGAGGGGGCGGTGCTGGGGACCAGAGGGGACCCCATAGGGGTCCCGGGAGCCGCCCGGGGCAGCCTCACCTTCCTCACGCGCTTCTTCCGGATGCTTTCCACAGCGAACACCTGCTCGCCGATGGCTGACAGCTCCATGCGGGGCGGCGGGCGAGCGGGCCCGGGGCCGGGCC